TTTACTCCAATCCTAGTACTAATATTACAATATATTCCTATTACTTTGGTATTCAATTCAAGTTCCACTAAGTTATTATTCCAGATAGCCTAAAAAGGTAAGTTAAAACTATACATCTCTGGTTTATATATTTGCTGACATATATCCTTTTTCTCTGAAACTCAGAATTCTGACAGCTTGGTTGGTTCATCTGGTTCCTCTTTAAAGACTAACACATTTGCCTAGTTTTACAAGTTCTAGCTCATTTTATAAGTCTAATTTTTATAATAATACTATTAAAGGTTCAAGTTATCTCTCTATTTGGGTTTTCCAAGTAGACTTCTATTTTCCTATCTGATTTCTATGATTTACACAGCCTAAGAACTTATCTTAGATTCATACTATCCAGTATCAGTTTGTGTTCCTTTATACAATATTGTATGAGTATCTAGACCATCCAGTCATGCTGATATAATACAGTTTATAGGTATCTTATCCTAACTAATTACAGAAGACAGTTAGCCATAACACAAAAAGAATTACAAATTTTCACTGTTACTGAGATTTAAACTCTAGACTTGCCACTTGGGAGTTAACAACCTATCCACTTTACTAGATCACTATAACCCTTAAATTAGTTAATTTTTATATGCATTAAAATAATAATTATATATAGAAATAAATTGTTTTTAGGTCCTTAAATGTGTTATATTCATCAAACTACAGAAAACATAAATTTGATCCTATTTTTCAGAAAAGAAAAGCAAACTTTTCTGCTTATATACAAACCAAAGGCAGCAGATACTATTTATTAATCTCTAAAATTAATTTTATGAATTGTAATTTAGTAAAAATTGAAAATGAAATAAAAGATATGCTTGATAAATACCAAAAATTTGACTATTTGTAGCATACTTGTTGAAGATAAATATGTATTAGTGATCTTTAATATATATATTTTTATTTATCTTTTCTTTTATAATCAGGTTTTCAGTGCAGTATGTTTGTAATGAACCTGAAGTTTAATGCAATATACTGAATGATACTCTTGAAAAAGTTTTTTTTTCTACAAAATATTTACAATCTTAATGTACTTTCAATAAAATGATGCGACCATCTTTTCACACTCCAATAAAGGTTCCAATTAATAAAATTTTCTAATTATATGTATAAATTATGCAATATTAATTTCAATATTATATTAGTAGTATTGATACACTTTTGCTATATAATTTATTTAATAATTTAATTCTTTTCTTTATATGATTATTACTTATATATAAATATATATTTTTTTTTAAAGATAATAATGATTGTTAATTTTTATTTAATTATAGTAATGGAAAAGGTTTTTATACATATTTTTACCAAGTTATATTACATATTACCTAATTTAGATTATATAAATTAAATATAAATTGTTAACGTTTTGCAGTTACTTTTAAGTGTTTACATTATTTTTGCTATATATTTTGTATATTATAGCAAAGGTTAATATTTGTAATCAGGATTATTAACATTTATAAGCAAGAAATTTATTAATTTACTCTAGGCTACGTAACATAATTTATATATGTATAAGTATGTTTTTGGGATAATGTATTAACAGTTAATCAATAAAAATATATTTCCAGACTATATAGTGTACAAATATTCATAATAATTCTAATTATAAGATATGTTAACCTTTTACAAATTTTTCCAAATCTTCAATTGTAATTTTACCATTTAATTCTTGATATATATTAATGAAATCTTTTAAAACATGATCAGCATCATCACTATCTGAAAATTGATTACGCAAAAATGATCGCAATGAGAGCAAGAATTGTGGATCTTTCAATTTTTCCATTGCCGCGGTAGAATGTTGGTGTGATTTATGTTCTTTAATGTTTTGTGGAGCTTCTTGAGACGAAACAACTGGTACCGATTGTACAGTGTTAGTCCCGGCTGTAACTGTCGGCTCCGAACTACCTGTCCCGGACTTCTGGACTAGATGTATTGTAGTGCCATCGTTTATGCCATATTCCAGTAAAGTCTTGTTGTCAACTAATGCTTTCCCTTTCAATATCAATCTTTGGTTTACAGGAGAAATTAAAACTAGTTGCCATAATCTCTCCTTTAAATTAAGAATAGTTTCCGAATTACTTAATTGAACTGTATGTGTTTGACCACCCTTTAATGATTTTACATGGACTTGGATTGGTATGCCTGTTACTAAAATTTTAAGTATTTAAAATATTGTAAGTAGCTTTTTTTACTCTCACAATTAACAATATTTCGGGTGTCACCTTGAGAAGATTCAAAATCCTCGGGTGTTTCTTGTGGCTTTTGTTTTCCTGTTGATTTATTCTTATTATTATGCGAAAGTGTAGACTAAAGTTCCAATGCAAGTGTTTTAATCTGAAGGTTAAAAATCACAATTCTTTACAAGATCTCAATCGAGCAAATCAAAATTTGGTCAGCCACACTCACCCTTACAGGTGGTCTTGGTCGTGTTTGAGCGGGTGGAGCAAAATCTTGCGGGTATCTTACAGGTCGTGTACTCAACTTACTGAGAAACTCAGTCGCAAAGCTTGTTTCGTCGACCAAACTCATTTTTGTTCGCCAACTTTTCTGTTTCGAAATTTACTATTTTATATATGGGGAAATGCTTCAAATTGATTGGGCCATTTAATCTGCCTAAATTTGTACTAGTTCCAGATTAACGATTAGGGGATGGATGATGATTTTTTCTATTTTGAGCTTGGAAATTTCTTTAGCGTTAACGTCAGTAAAAGTTCTTTTCATTAAGTACGCAAAAATAGGATAATAATATTTAGTTTCCCTAACCAAAATAACAATTACATATTAAAATAGATGTGGTATTTAAAAATAAACCGGATATGTTAATGAATCCGAAAAAATCGGTAAGAAATTTTCATGATTCACATGAGAATAATTACTGTTGTTTATTATAAATCCAAAATTTCTAAGTATTTGTTTTAATATAAACGTTATCAAAATCATTTTTTTAAGATATAGTATTTTTTGACTAAAACGTAATGCAATGTTAGCAGATCCGCTTTTAGCCAATTCCGATATAATTTACAAGAAAACATACGTATAATGAATCAATATAACTAGTATATAATTATAATTTCGATATTTATCAACCTAAAATTTAAAAAGAACATTATCGATATTAGATATTTTAGGTACATGCCACATGATCGAACATTGATTTATACTGAAAGAAAACAAGGAACAGCGAAAGGATGACAGAGAGGATGTGAAAAACAGATAGTCCAAATAGCTTAACAATGAGAAAAAGAAACAACCCAGATGACAGAAAACAAAAGGCATAAAGAATAGTTACCTTTACTCTTAGAAGATGGATTTCCAAGAGAAACACCCATTTTGTCTACGTAGTCATTTCAATTTAACCTACATCACGCGGGTGACACTTTACTAAATATATATCTGATATTTATATCCGCAACTAAACTACGTAGAAGATACTAGAAACTTTTTTTCTAAATATAACAAATCAAATTTTAGAAACAGTATGTATCAAATTAACTGTTAAGGACATTCTCAAGCACTTCAATCAATAGATCGGAGGCAAATGTTTAATTGGTAAGAAATTGAGTAAACCAAATAAGTGAGTATCATTTCGATGAATAAAACCTGGAGGTGTAGACCATCTTTTTTTTTTTAGAACCTGTATTTCGCACAATGAATTATTAGCAAGTTGTCCGATTAACCGCATTAACCAATCGTAATAATTTGAGCAACATCTCGATCACTATTGAGGGAGCTACCCAACAGGAGGAACCGTTGATGTTACACGACTGATCTTTCACCTGGTGTGCAACATATAAAAAAATTATTTTACAATACCGATACCAGATTACATGTTATGATTATAATCCTACGTACATCATTTTTATTATAATAAAATGGGTGTGGGAGCGTAGCGGAGGACACTATATGTCTATGCAAAGTGAAAAAAATGTCGGTCTGTCCGGCCACATCATGTGATATACGATAATCAATTAAATCTCTCTGGACTGCATTTACCTAGTATTGTAAAATAATTTTTTTATATGCTGCACGCCGGGTGAAGGATCAGAAGTGTAACATTGGCGGTTCCTTCTGTTGAGCTACCCTAAGTGTAAGTTGGATTTTCTTTCCTATAAGACATTGTGCAAGTTTTCAGAATTAGATTTATCAAAAATTATAAAAATGCTAAGAAAAAAGCAGTTTTTATATTGTAAAATCTAACTTGTAAACCTAATAGAATTCAAGAGCTTGCCTTAAAATACTACGAAGTGTGTATTTTAGAAGCATCATGCTCTTGTGAAATGCTATAGTACCTAGTTTTCAATTATTAACTAAAGAGGTTCGAAATCAACTTTAGGTTGATTCAAAATTCGCAGACCACCCGGGTGGGTTAAAATTTTAAGGGAATTATCGTTATAGTCGAAACAATTTAAAATTGAATGACCAAATGGCTAGTCGGGGTCTAATCTAATCACATTGATTTTGTAATCAAAATTTTAACACAAATCCATAAATTTAGCCATGATACTTAGCGTTAGATCCGAATTAACACTAGATACAGAGAAATTTGGCCCTCCCCATTACCATCATTATCTATATAAAGACGTGAAGTATCCGATAATGTATGTATGTAACACAGTAATGGTAAGAAGATAACCAATTGTTGTTCATTGACTAAGAAAGTAATCATCAATTGGCTATCAACCACTTTTTCCCGATACTAACTAAAGCGTTTGGTTAACGAGTGTGGGAAGATTACCCAAGCCTCATTGAATCTAAAGGATAGATTTTAGATGCACCGATTCAAATTTCATGGTGCATGACTTATTTATCGTGTTACCATAAAAAAAAATGTTCACGATAAAAGTCATCAAATTTCATCTTTCTCTTCCGCACGGTTGACTACCAAACACCCAGTAAGTTTTACCTAACGCTAAATCGGCCCCTTTATTTTCACTGCGCCAGGGGTCCGCAGTATGATTGGTGTTAGTTTATTGAGAGCTAAAGTATTTACCAACACGCGAACGTCCGTTTTTAGAGCTTTAACAACCATGACAAATCCTAAGTGTTTTTTTGACGTTGAGGTTGATGGCGAAAGTCTCGGCGTAAGTTTATATAAATAGACAAATAAATATGGTTAAATTTATTTCTAACTTGTAAGTTTTCTGTTTTATAATTATTATTTCATTTTTATAGAGAATCGTATTTGAACTTAGGAAGGATGTCTGTCCCCAGACTGGTAAACAAATTTAAGAAATGTCACATATTAATTGATTAAAGATATTATTATTTTTATTATTTATATATTTTATTTATAATGAACAGCTGAAAATTTCAGGTCATTATGTACAGGCGAACATGGTAAAACTTATAAGGGCTCCGCCTTTCATCGTATCATTCCTCAATTTATGATTCAAGGTGGTGACTTTACCAGAGGTGACGGAACTGGCGGTGAATCCATTTATGGTGCTAAATTCCCTGATGAAAATTTCCAATTGAAACACACTGGACCTGGTATATATAGTTATAAGAATGATATTTCTTAATGCATTTTGACAATAATAATTAAAATGTTTGTATATTAGGTATTCTTTCAATGGCTAATGCTGGACCCAACACTAATGGATCTCAATTCTTTATTTGCACTGTAAAGACTAACTGGTTAGATAATAAGCATGTCGTTTTTGGACAAGTGGTTGAAGGTGTGTTTATAAGCTACTTTTTTTTTTTTCTTTTTTTGAAATGTTGCCAATATTGAACTTTCTTTTATAAATGCATAACTTATCTAGGTATGGATGTTGTGTACAAAGTTGAATCTTTTGGTACATCTAGCGGTGCCGTGAAGGACAGAAAGCGAATCAAGATTGCTAATTGTGGTGAATGTTAATAAGTTTTCACCATGCTGAATGTACCTTTTTTTTCGTATTCAAAAAAAAAAAAAGGAAACTGCAATAATTTGTTCTGAATAAATATGATAAATTATAGTTTCTAATTCTTTAAAAATTATTATAAAAATTAGTCCTTAAATGTGCTTTGTATAGCTCGAAATAAACTTTTTTTTTCTGATGTACCTTGCGATGCATAAATCTAGGTATTTGTTAAACAAGCATGCCATTATTAAAATAAAAGCTATATCATTTGACAAACCAAATGTAAAAAAATGAAAAACTTTAAAAGTTGATTAGCTAATGTATCATAAAAGGTTAATGATTAATAACTGTATTACTACAAATTTTAAAACCAGATATATACAACATAACTGATGTTAACTTCATGACTTTATTAGATGTATTAATAAAAAAAGCTTGGCAATTTAGATTAAATATAGAGCTCTAACAAAATTTAAATCACATTAAGCTTCACCTATTAACATTTTAAATATATATTTTGGTTTATCAAAATCTATCATCATTCATTAAGTCATAAACCAAAATCTAGGATTTGATTATGAACTAAAAATTAGAGTAAGTCCAGTCTAAACCACTTAAGAAGGAATTCATAAATCAGACTCAAGGGGTTTAATGAGATTTTACGTATTAGTTCTTAACTAGCCCTATTGGAATACTTGTAACATATTAGCGTTACATCTTAAAAGTATTACGTATTCATGTAATCCTTAAAGCTCTGCTCCAAGGAACCATGAACTTTGCAATTTACAATGTTTCTAAAAAATATGCATTCAAAAAGGTTATTTGTAGATATTCCTTAGGATTGTAGAAAATCACAAATTTACAAGTCCGTGCTTTGCTCATAAGTAGTTATGAGTAAGACTTGATAAGTCGACACAAAAGACCGACTTTAATGAACTTATTAACCATATTAAAAATTCGGAAACTATATTTTTAACAAATAAACATCATATTTATTTGATTGCAATTAAGAGAATTTGTTAAACACAATCGTTGAATAACTAAAGATATTTGGTTATAAAAATTATAAATGTCATTGACATTAATAATTATAATAATCTAAAAGCTCCATATAACGTTTATTAGGATTTATTTTTCGTCTGGTTTATCTATAGCAGCAGTAGCACGAGCTGTCCAAGGCAAATTTTCATTAGTCATAAAAGAGTACAAGATGAAAAAAAATTTAAAAATGTATACACGTACTGTAAATGGGTAATGATGAATGTGTTGAAATTTTACGGATGCTTCCTTTTTCTTCTAACTCACGAATCGCAATGCGAGCAAGGGATCCGTTAATTCTAAGACGATCAACCAAAACTGCCGGCGTAATTAATTTATAAGTTGGTACTTCTTTTTGTAGTTTGTCATATGTTGCTTTGTCAAGAACTACGGCATTGTTGGCTTTGTCCTTAACCTTTCCTTTGGACCATTTCTATGTGTTTGTAAACTCTATATGAGTATTTAAACGTAATTCATAAAATAGCGATTTGCTATGCGCCATTACCTTTTTCTTATTTTTACCAGAAGAAGGCTTGGCTGCCTTCTCTTTAGCCTATATATAAAGGTTAAATAAATAAAAATTTCATATAAATATTGTCCTTTGCAATAAATACAATCGCATAAGTACACATGCATTTCAACATTGTTCTATTTCCCAAACAAAATAACTCACCATATTTGATATCTTTGATTTACAAGAAAAAAAGAAAAAAATTTTTTATCTATCTGATAAAGATACCGATACACTTACGGAATTATAGAATTCATTTTAATTGGTTGTCGATTTCTGATCCTCAAGCTGAATATGATTGGTTTAGTTTTATACATACAAAGAAAAGATTGTGTTTTCCAACTTTGACCGGTTAATTGGCCAACAACAATGACAAATAACCAACAACTTCACTATACAAACATATATCATTTCGGTCAAATAATTTTTTTTAAAAAAAATTCGCTGTTGGCTGTGACCAATGGCTGGCCAAACTGCCAAACGACAATACTGTAATATCACACGCTTTTCTGGCCAACCAAAAACGTTCATCTACCCATCCAACCCATTAACATTGGTTATTTTGTGATATAGTCGGACCTTGTGTGAGTTATGGTAACTATGTTTTAGTCCTAAACATGTAAAATTTTGATTTTTTATATAATTATAACTTTTTGTAATTATAAAAATTGTTTTTTAGCTTGATACAGTCAGATCTTGGTATAATCACAGGGTTGAAACCAAAAAATAAAAAGTTGACTATATGAAGTTACTGCATATAACTAGAAATATCAAATAGTGTGATTATACAAATATTCTCTATATAAAATATGTATAATCATCCTTTAAAGTAACAAGTTACATGCTAGTTTTAAATAAACTTTTACTACGTACGTAGAATGCTTTTCTAACACATACATACATTATGTAAACGCTCTGGATCAAGTAGGATGATTTTCTGCATTCACAGAATTTTGCTATTGTTTCACAAAATACCGATACTATAAACATATCAGCCAATCAGGTTCCTTGCTGATAATAAATTTCTATCATCTGCGTATACGTTGTATGAAAACTTAGTTTTACACTTTCGAAACAATAGATCTTTCAGACTTCTAGCGGTAAGGATTGTTTTCTTTGTAATGTGATAGAATCCTTCTTATCAATTATTATTTAAATTCTAATATGCATCGATTTAAAGTACCGTCTTTGCTGCCAGAAAACTAAACTCAGCACGATATGGGAGAAGGACACCAGCATCCTTGGTGGGGTAACCTGGGTGGCCCCGTCCAAAAACATATTGTAACATATTCTATTTCTCCATATAAACAACGTGTTTTCGCGGGCGCTTTATCACACGGTGTTTTCAATACTTACCGGCGCATAGCTTCTCAAGCTTTTTATGTTGGCGTTCCTGTATTTATTGGTTTATTAATTTATCACCAGGGCAAAAAAAGACACGAGTTTTTGAATTCGAAAGCAGGCCATGAGGAACTACTCAGATTAACTAAATAATCATGATTTATTATAGATTTTTTTTTTCATTTCGCTAATGAATCATAATTTTTGATTTGATTTCTATTTCTATAATGTATATGATTTAAGTAATGAATAAACTTTTTGTGAATGAAAGCGATAAATTAATAAACACAATTTTAAAGCCATTATTCATATTAATACCGTTGTATGTATTGGATACTGTTTTAACGGTTTTCGTCGCATCCTTTTATTTATTAAGAGATGTGACAATTAACAACACAATATTTTAATGCTTCTTCAGAATTAGGATAATTGTCAGGAAGTCTCAAGGTAATTGGAGTAGTAAAATGATTACTTTATTACCTTTGGGTCCTCTGACAATTAACCTAGTTCTGAAGTGCATTAGTAATGATACAGGCTGATATCGAGTATTTTACGTACGTATGTACGTACACACATAGCTGATAGGTATTTTATATAATAAATTTGTTATACTGCGCTTGAGTTAGCATTGATTAACAGATCCCATTAGGTTCTGAACTAGGGATTGTATGTAGGAATGTTAATCAGTCTCGGGACAATTGTGTGCCAATTTTGAAAGTTATCTTTTATACGTACCGTCTTTCCGCGTAAAACCACTCATAAGCGTTATTTCACCAATGGTTAGGGATTAATAAGCATATACGTTCCTCTGATTGGCTATATTTGCAGATCTGATATATAGTGCCTATTATTTAAGTTGTGATGTATGATTACGTATTAAATAATATTTTCTTAATATTTTTAGTAATACTGTTACAAAGTAAATTATTAGCATAGAATAGTATATTATTAATAGTTATTATATATTTATTATTATTATTTATTTTTATTTTTTACTTTTGGTAGTCACAATGGTTACTAGTTAGAAGTTTATTTATAATAGTTTAGTACAAATAATATACAAATATAATTTGTCTAACTCTTGTATCATTATCATGTGATTACTCCAATTGGTACTTATAAGTAACCTGCTATACCAGATCTGCTAAAGTTTAAATCAAGCTCATCTGTCTGCCACCTTACAATTAAACAACATCAATCTAATATCATTTGTTTGTAAAAAGATTAAAAACTTCTTATTAAAAGAAAAATACATTAAAAAAAAATATGTATAGGAAAAAAATATAAAAAAAACAAATATCAAGAAATAAAAAAAAAGAAAAGTGTTGACATAAGGTCAAACAAATAGACACAAATTGTAAAGATTGTATTGGTTTATTAAAAATTATATGTTATTAAATATAGTAATCTCTACTTTATCTCTATCTAATTAACTATTTAATACTATATAAAACTTATATTTTAAGAAAAACAATTTAATCAAAACTGAATTAACAAAAAATTTTTTATATATCAGATGTTTCAACTTCTTATTACTAGATCTATCTTTATATATAACTCATCATACTTTTTACTAAATCTTACATTTTGATACTTGTCATATTTTCAATTAATTATTTTATTTTTTATTAAAAATTTCATTGTTATATTTTTTTCTAAGTTATATATACTTATGCTTTATTTACAACATAGGTTTTTTTTAAAATAGAACTAATAAACAATTCTTAAAAATGTAGTAACTTAGTAAAATAGATAGGTTATCAACCTTCAAATGATAGGTCTAATATTTAATTCTTATAGATGACAAATTTTAAAAATTATATCTGTATTATAATAACTGTCATTTGCCAATTAGTTAGATTTAGGGTATTTGTAATTTTAAATACACCAAGTCAGGCTTTATCTAATATTAGAAACTCAGAATATTTATATAAAGTATAACATTACATATATATAGAAGAATGTGAAAAGTTAGTATTATATAATTCTTTGTTACAAACTTATGATAAGACTACTGAATATAGAAGGCTAAAAAACTGAGAAGACAAAAACTTACTTAAAAATTCTGAGTAAAGAGATAATACAAACTTTCGATAATACTATTGGACTGATAGAAGTTTATAAAACAGCTTTATAAGAATTATAAGATAAACTGAATAGCAAGTATATGAAAGAAATATATGCACCAACTAGGCTACCAGAATCACTAAAAAAAAAGAATATATAAGTATATTATACCAAGTTATCTGAATTAAAAGTTTGAGAAATCTGTTAGTTCTGAGTTGCAGCTAATAAGGAATAATAAAGAAGATATCAAAAAGATAAATATTAGGATTTGAGTAAACTTTATAAGAGTAATAGCAGTTTAATAAATACTCCTAACTGCAAATATTGGTTTTGGTTATAATATCAAATTAGATTAGTAATAAAAAAGAATACAGCTTATTCTGGTAAATCTATTTCAAGAATAAAAATAGTCTAAGGATTATAGTTCTAAAAGTTGATAGTAAAAAGATTTGAGTTTGTGATCTGATAAAGTTAATATCAGGATCAAATCAGAAAGTTTAAATAAAACATCTAACTAAAAATATTAGATATAGCAACTAGTAAAAAACCTTTAGTTGAACTTTTTAAATAAATAATATAAAAAAGTTATACATATAGATAGTTGTATACTTATCTGATAGTTCAATATAAATATATCTATATGTACATATGCCTAATATAAGTATAAATAAAAAGTTAGGTCTAAAAAAGATCACCTTAATATCAAAAAATAAAAAACTAATAAATAATTCTAATTTGTAAAAATTAACATCAAACTTAATAAAAATAAATCAAAGTGCTCACTTTTTATTAAAAATTTTTTAGAAGAAAGAAAATTTTTTAAAGTATCAACTATAATAACTATAAAAGTTTATATTATAAAGAATAGCATATTTAACTAGGCTTCTATCTTTACTATTGCTTATATATAACTTGACAAACACTTTCTTAAATTATATATAACAATTGCATAAAATGTTCGCAAACATGTGATTTTAAGTTAATTACAACACATAATTAGATATAATATAAAAGAGAACAAACTGCCAGCTGTTTTTAAAAACTTGTTTATAACTTAAAATTTTGATTACAAATTTATCTTTTGCATCTTAGCAAAAAAATTTTCTTGCAAAATTTTGCTATATGCAAAGTCCTTATTATTAACATCCTAATACTTACCCTTATTCTAACATTAAAGTTAATTTTTTAATTAAAGATATATAATAATCTGCTGTTTGTTTTTGGGCAATAAAATTTTAGTATAAATCATCACAAAATTGCAATTGCTATATATTATTTTTTATAGTTGTAACCAAAATTATTTTTCAATAATTTTATAAACTTTTATCAAAAAACCAAATTTAGAAAAGTTATCTTTTTCAACTTTTTTTATATTGCTCATATATAATTTAAAACTCTTGAACTTAGATGCTATATAGTGAAGCTTTGTTAAGTATAAACATACTAATTATATAATATTTATAAGTTAGTATATGTAAAAAAAGTTAGTACAGGAGGTGTGGCGACCTAGAGAAGTGGTCAAGTTGTTAACCCTTCAAGTGGTAGGTTGGGTGTTCAAATCTCATCGACAGTGAAAATTTGGATAATCACCTATGTAATATTCGTATTATAACAACTGTTACTAACAATTGGGTTAGAATACCTGTAATGGCGGTCATACCAGCATGACTGGCAGGTTATAGGGCATCTGTGCAATGTTGGAGTTATATAGAAGAATACAAACTGACAAATTGGGCGATGCAAACACTAAATAAGTCCTTGTAGCTGTGTAAATCCAGTGAAATTAGGTAACAAAAAGTTCATTTGGGAAGACTTGAATAGAGAGGTAGCTGGATCTTCGATGGCCCTACTGTAAAGGCTAGTCTGGCGAAACAGATACCTAGGTCTAGTACCCGGTCCTAGTAGCCAGACGGGCAAGAACCTCTGAGTTGGAAGTCTCGGAGGTACCACCAACCAGGCCACTGGAATGAACTGGAGGAAAAGAATATCGGCCCGACCCGATATACTGATGAACAGTCATAGTCCTACATGGGTTATCTGGATTGGGAGTTTGGTAAAAGGGTAGAGGAAAAGGCAGAGATATACTAAAGTATCAGGGTTATGCTATGAAGTAGATGCTGGGGTCTAAGTGAACTTTACAAGGGCATAGCAGTTTAATGGTTAGTCCTGACCACAAGTGTTGGTTCTGCTATAGCAATACCTAGGTCAGCTGTAAAAATGTGTACAGAAGGCTCTGAGAGGTTTACCTCAAGGATAAATTAGTCCTAAGGTTGAGAATGATGATCTGGTATATCTGAGATGACCAGTGATGTTAAC